GTCAAGATGATGTTTTGTGTTTCAATTCAGCAAAACATGTGTTTATTCATGTTGAACCAAACTACAATCTTTCCATAATCATAACCTAAAAGCTGAAATGACAACATAAAAATGACTCATGCCCACTTTTGCTAATTCTTGATTGTTCAAACGGAGCTAATTCCAGATATTTCAGAATTATTTAGTTCCTCAACTCACAAAAAAAAGATTATTAAACTATCTATCATGGTACACTGGGCAGAAATGACTAGGTACATGCACTGGTTTGACATCTGCAACCACTAAAGAGCCTAAGCTTTGAGAACTTAAAGCTGCTATAATCAATTTTAAATTAACGAGACCATGTGTAATGTTAAAGTGGCTGCTTGTAGTGACTAACCCACAGAGAATTAGAACCTGGCTCTGCAGTTCCCCTAAGCTGTTGCTGTTTCAGTTCACTCCGCTGCTCCCATTATACGAGTTCCCAGCCACAGCAGGCAGCTTTTTATAAAGCATAAAAGCTCTGATAACTCCACTGACCTGACCTGCCAGATCAAGTTAGTGACTAACTGGTGAACACAGAGCGCTTGGCAAGAGAAAAGGAGATTTAGCTTAAATTTTAACAGTTTGATATCTGACAAGAACAAGTGTGAAACTGTGAAAAGTTAGATGAATAAGCTGAGAGAAAGAATTTTTGATTTTGACAGAGGCGGTTTCTCAGTGGAGCCACTGTGTGGGCCATGCATGTGAATTTGGCCCATTTCAGAGTAAAGTCAAAATGGGAGAACATAGGCATCTGTCCTGGGGACATTTAAGATAAGAGGGCTCTCTTTTGAGAGTTCATCCCTCTGAAAGGTTGTGTGGCCAAAAAGAGAAATTAATTCTTTAGGAGGATGATTAGTCAGCCTCTTTTGATAAATTGTTGGAGAGGGGATTATGTACCGTCTGATTTACTTCAGAGATTTGCTACTTCCTTCTAGCAGCACTCGGTCCTCATTTTAAGCAGAGCCAAGTGGTTTTGATAATACATTTGTAATGGCTATGCATATTCCAGCTTTAGAGTTATATATCTCACTGAACCTGATAAGCCAATCATTATAATTCTAGCCAATCCTGCACCGAGCCATTTGTATTCTGTAAATGCTTTGTGACAGAGTATAAAATATTCCCACCACAAAATGTGCCACTATTTCATTATACAGCACAAACCTTTTATACCAACTATACTATATTGTACACCATCCACTAGTCAGGATGTTTTGCTCACCTTGGCCTTTGATCAATAAATAAAGCCTTGTACTGAGACAAAGTATTTGATAAAACTGCTTTGGCGCCTTATTTAAGAGTATGTTCATCTCCTTTAAGCAGGTTTGTGCTGCAAAGCACCTCTTTCTAAAACAAACAGATGGAGCAGGGACCCCAGGTGGATGCTAAGGTATAGTTATTTTATAAACAATCACATCACATCCAGGAAAGAAAAAAAACACAGCTGGAGGCTCTCAATGAGTCAAACTACAGTACCGAGGTGAAAAATAGCTGTTGTGAATGCCACTCGACTTGGTTTTATAAATTGCATGCCCAGAAGTAATCCAAGCTAATACATGATTGCCAAGCACCCTTGTCCCTTTGGCACAGTTTCTATAAACATGCACTTGAATATAACAAACTATTTCCTGAAGCTCTGCTACCACATTATACACAAAATGACACGCACCGTTTCCTTTCATCATTGATATCTTATGTTTTGTTTTCCAACTGAAATATTTGTCACGGATTGTCACGCTGTGAATTTTGTCCCGAGGCTTGGCCGTTTGTCACAGTTTTGACACTCAGGTAAATCACAGGCACAGCAATTCCCATTTACATGACTTTGAGCTTTGCAGGGGATTGATAAAGTTTTGTTACTCTTACACTTCAGTAACCTAACAACAACTAATTAGCTGTAAACTGAGAACACAGTTCACATTTGGATTTTTGTTTCACCTACCTACAAGGCTGTTATGCATTGTTTAGCAACAGCATTTGCTTCTTAAGTCTGTTATTAATCCAAATTCATTCAAAACAAGTTTACAAACCTTTCCTCTTCTCTGACTTACAACTCTCAGACTTCCCTAAAGCTCACCAAAAAAAAAAAGGCTATAAATGACCCTTTTTTGAATAATTAATGATGCACTTTAAGGTTCTTATTTCAACTAATGCTGTGATTACAGAGATTACCGACATTACATGTGATTTTCTTAAGATTTACCCTGTGCATCATCTCCATCCTAAGATTCATCCCCTGCTCTGCTTCTTTGTGCACTACTCAGCTGTCTGACACGAGGATGTGACAAGCCTCAACTTGCTGGTGACTTGGTTGTGGATGTTAGTACATGTAAATGAGGGTATTCAGTCCCTCATGAAGAGTAAACAGAAGAGACAAAGGGGGAAATATGCAGTGGGGGTGAACGGGGGAATTAACTGCCTAAAGATGGTGGCCCTGTAACAGCAGAACAGCAGTCATCTTCTAATCTATTACACTGTGATTCCAAACTCAAAGCATGGCCAGTATTGTGGCCTATATTCAGTGACTATCGTGATGGTGTTTTCTTTTGTCTTTTAGAGTATGATGGCGCTCTTTGTCTTTCATCAAATCAAATTTTATTTGTATAGCGCCAAATCACAACAAAAGTCATCTCAGGACACTTTACAAAGTAAGGTCTAGACCTTACTGTTATCAATATTATTACATAGGGAAAACCCAACAAATCCCCCTTGAGCAAGCACTTGGTGACAGTGGGGAGGAAAAACTCCCTTTAACAGAAGAAACCTCCAACAGACCCCGGCTCTTGGTGAGCAGCCTTCTGCCTCGACCGGTTGGGCCATGATCCAGTTATGTTAAAGGGGTATTGTACCTCCATGAAGTCTGGAGACAGACGGCCAAAACCGTGTTCTATGTTTACTGTAGATAGATTTTAGTTCCTACATTGAGTCGAGCTAGTTTGTTGCATGGCTGAGAATGGGAGTGTTGCTACCATATCAAATACACAGTGTAGGTGAGCTTCAACATTGTGTCATGTTAGGGAAAGGGCAAAACAAACAACTTATGGATAAAACCAAATACTGACCAGCCCACAGCTGCAGTTTACCCGCTCCTCTAAACCCAGAGAAAGGAATCTCACAGTGGAGGATTTAACAAACTCACTTACCACCAGCTACACAACATGAACTCCACATTTAATGTCCATTAAAAACAACCTATACATAAACAAAAATAAAAAGTGAAAAAGCAGGGCTCTGTCACGCCTCTATTCTGGCCTTGAATTCTTACACAACCCATCTTGATAAACAAAATGCACTTTTTGATGCTGAGATAAATTAGCTTGGTGGTACCACAGGTTTATTCATTTTTTCAGCTCCTTTCCATATCAGCTCAGCAATCAGTTCTTCTTCTCAACACTGTCATTCATTTGTCTAACAAATTACTGGCTGAACGCTACACTTTCCTCACCTTGCGTGACAGCAGAACATATTCTTGTTAGGTTATTTTTTTGGCATCCAAGTGTTTTAGATTTGTGCAGCCGAGGGAATAAGACTTTATGGATTTAATTCATCCCCATAAAATTTTAAAATACAAGGAGGGCAGAAACTACTGGTCTTTAAAATGTTGACAGTTTGCTCAGATCTCAGCTCCTTGCTCAAGGGCATTTATTTTATTTAGGCTCTTTTTATTGTCATTTTACCAGTTGAATTTGTTCTCCTGAGCCGCCAACCCCCATATAACTATGACTCAAGCACTGATGCGGCATAACAAATGTGTCTCCCACTATCATCCTTCTCTGTTGTATGACTTCAGCTCAGGTGTATGTGTGTGTGTTTGTGTTTTCTCTGCAGAAATCCGCGAGGCCTTTAAAGTGTTTGACCGCGATGGAAACGGGTTCATCTCAAAGCAGGAGCTGGGAATGGCCATGCGGTCCCTTGGATACATGCCAAATGAGGTGGAGCTGGAAGTCATCATCCAGAGACTGGACATGGATGGTGAGGCAAACACACACTTTGGATTTTATTTCGTAGGTCATACAGCATAGAAACTTCACTCAATATTTTCCCACACAACTGGACTATAACAGGCAAACAGCAACTGTCTCTCTTTCTGCAGGCGATGGCCAAGTGGACTTTGAAGAGTTTGTTACTCTTCTGGGCCCGAAGCTGACAGCAGCTGGTGTGCCAGATAAGTTCAACGGCACTGACTTTGACTCCGTTTTTTGGAAGGTGCTCATTATTCAGTTACTCATTTCCTGCTTATTAGAAGGAAGATTCAACACTGAGCGCACAAGTAGTTAGACTCTACCATTGTATGACTCTGAAGGAAAAAAACCTGTTTTAATTGCCATATTCACTGGGATATTAATTGGAGGATTGTAATCTTGGAGAGATTTGGATTCCCTTAAGAACTGTGTCATTCATCAAGACTGAGTCTGCATCTTTGTGTGGCAATATTCCAATTACTTTGAACATTAAAGTCAATTTTGGTGTAAAACAGATTTTTTTCCCAGAGACCTCATTAGATAATCAGCTGCCTACTTTGACAGTGGGATGGCACTTGTGTCAAAGCTGCCTTTGTTGTAGTTATGCGATAACAGTGCCGCAGCGTCTGTCAGAAAGTATTGCTCCAAATTGAGTGTGAATAAAGGGGGATTTGTGGGAATTCTTGGTGCAGTCAGTGTAGTAAAAAAAGACTTGCAACCAAAGACAGCTGCTGTGAGAGTCAAGAAACCCAGGGGACTGTTGCAAAGACTGCATAGCTTCACATGACATTATAAAAGAGAATAGTAATATCAAATACATGTTACTGGATTGATCACTCAGAGCCCCTGGTCCCACTCATGAGCTGCGGCTCAGGCTGGGCTGAAAGTGAATAACGTGAGCTTTCCAAACAGGCACAGGTCCTGCATTGGTATTTTTGCAATAATTTTTATTTTGTTTTATGCTTAAGTCATTTATAGTTAGTTTTTTTTTTTACTCAAATTTTACAAGTTAGAGGTGAACTAGGTATATTGACTCTCAAAAAGCATTAGGTGCAACCTAAATATTTTCATTTTTTGCTACATTTACATACAAAAAAATATGACTTGCTTATATAATACAATGTACTATTACAGATGAAACCACCCTACAGTATAGGTTTTTCTACCGTACTTGTTATAGGCAAACCACACTGCTCATCTGTCCAAATGGTGTTTAAACTTGGACCTTGTGGATTGGACCCAACTGTCAACTTAGACATTAAAACTTAAACATTTACACTTAATATTTTTTCCATACTACTCTCTATATGTTATGTGTGTGTGTGGGCCAATATCCTGTATGCATGTCTGTTAACGTATGTGTGTGCGAATATCCTGTATGCATGTCTGTTAACGTTCAGCTGTGTGTGTGTATATACACATCTTCAGTGCGACATGCAGAAGTTGACAGTGGAGGAGCTGAAAAGGCTTCTGTACGACACCTTCTGCGATCACCTTTCCATGAAAGACATCGAGAACATCATCATGACTGAGGAGAACCACATAGAGAACCCTGAGGACTGCCAGGTGGATATAGACAGTAAGGAAACACCTTCTGCACTTAAGACCTCTGTTTGTGAAAGTGTTGCATTTATGGGGGAATTTGGAATCTGGGGATTAAAAATTCACACACCAGTCACAGATCAAACTGGCCAAAACTAGATGCTATCATGTCCACACTTTATCAGTGCATGTTAAATATTAAAGAGTCCGTTCACCCAAATAACAGCCATCTTAGACCATCATTCATTTTATCTGCCAACGTTCTGAACTAAGGTTTCTGTCACCACCACAAAATGGTGGAGGTGAATGGAATTTTATTTGGTGTGGTCAAAGCTTTAACATTAGAAAACTTTAACAGTAACTGTTTGTTTTCATAAATCATGTATTGATTTTATCTGGCTGTGAACAATTTACCTACATTATCTACAGGAAGACGTACTGCATTACTGGGTCTTTTGTTTTTAATCCAAGTTTCAGTTCTTGCCTTTTTTTGATATTGACAGCAGAGAAAGAGACAGAAATGAGAGCAATATGACACATGACAAAAGGTCCTAGCTGGAATTAAACTAGAGGCACTGTGGTAATTTACTTCCTACATTTAGTCTAGATATATCTAGATAAAAATGACTGCAGAAAACCAAAACATTCATCACTTGCACTGTCTTGAACAGAAAATGTCTAATCATAGTTTAAAAATCTCATTATAGAAATCACCCTTAAAAACTTCCTCACAATCAGAATTTGTTTCTAGTTGCACTATTTTGCACCAAAAATCACACTGGGAAAACCGCTGTGAAACAGCAGAGAAACCAATCACTCCCCAGCTTCTCATTAGCAGTGTATGAAATGTTGTGGCTGCTTAGGCACCTGTTTTCCAATTCGAGTGACTGATGCATTCTTTCCCATCCCCTTTTGCTTTCTCCTCACCTATAAAAATGACTATATTACTGCTAAAGCTCCATCCTCCTGCTCAAACTCTGCAGGGAGAACCCTCTCCTCTAAGGCTCATTTAAAAGCCATTGTGGGAAATGCACACTGAGGGAACATGTCCACACAGTGATAGAGTAAATTACACCTCTTCATTACAACATGGAGTAACTGAAAATTTACTGGAGGCAGCAAAAGACACCCTTTTACTGGTGTCTTAAAAGGGTGGAACTTTCCTTTAATGGTTAATTTACTGAGGGTTGCAATTGCAATTTTTTTATTTAGTCATTTATCTAATTTGTAGGTTTAATGGCTGTTGGACCCATGACAAAATCTTTTTCTGTTGGGAAACACTCTCTGAAGATGTGGGGGTTTCCCTGTAAGAACAGCAATGATCTCTAGGGACAATAAAGTCAAAAGCCAGACCAATTTTAACCTTCTACTTGAACATAACTACAGTAAAACGGATGACAGCTGAACATTTTCTTTTGCTTCTGTTGCCTTGGCCCTTACCTCACATGATTTTGCAGGTATACCACACCTTCTGAGGTGCCACCGTTTAGATGAGAATCCTTTAACATGCCAGTACATTGTTATTCCAAAACTCCAATCAAAATTTCAATAAAGATGCAGCTATGCATCATAGGGGTTTGAAAGCAAAATGTTTCTTGCAGTGTTCATCTCTTATAATTGTGCTGCTATAATGGAAAGGTTCTGTGACAAGTTCTTTCATTTGAAAATTACCATCAAGCATTAAATAACACCTGACTGAATGGGCCTTCAGCTAAATATATTTTCTCCCATTCCCTCTCCCCAGGTTCTAGCCCGACGCAGCACGTCAAGCAAACTTGCGTGCGCAAGAGCCTGATATGCGCCTTTGCTATCGCTTTCATCATCAGCGTCATGCTCATCGCAGCCAATCAAGTGCTGCGAAGCGGCATGAAATAGGAGCTATGGCATTTTCAGCCTTGACAACCACCTAAAGGCTGCCTCACAGATAAAAGACAGAGATAAAGCTAAAAAAAAAAAAAAAAAAAAAAAAAAAAAAAAAAAAAAACTGATCCAACAGACAATCACACCTCTGTACAACACATGACTGCAGAACAACTGTAGTCACCAATGACACTACATGTGCAGGAATTTGTCTCAATGACAGGGACATGCTGACAGCTACAGCATTTCAAGGACACCAAGACTTCATACACCAAGAGACAGCAGTCTGTCTAAAGTGGACAGGTGACTATACATATCACTTTTCATAATACAACTTCTAGCATTCATTAGCTATGTGCATTTGAACAGTGTTGCATTCAGTATGGTGGCAGCTATAAAGAGAAGTGTAGTGCCTGTCCAGTTTTGTATTTGTCCAGTGTACCATGCAGTTTATTATAAACAAGTAGAAAGAGATGTGTGAAATATTGTGGCGATGTTTGAGAAAATGCTTTCCTGAGTGTGGAAAGTGTTGTTTTGAGAAAGGTCTGGAACAAACAGTACTGTGGAGATATTGTACATGGTGTGGCATTGTACAAAAACCACTTTGGAGTATCAATAGCTTGGTGAGAAACTGATGGTGGGAAAGGTTTGCAGAGAGGTGCATGTGATTGTGTGGATGGTTTCACTCATTCACAGGCTGCAGGGCTTCAGTCTGAGCAGAGTGATTCAGGTTAACATCTCTTGGGAGGAAGGTGCTGAGGTCTGAATAGACAGGTAACTTGTTAGAAAAATAGTTGGACATGCAGTAACACTCAACTCTGTGTCTGCAGCTGAGCTGTGCAGGCCTCAGAGGATGAGAATCTTCTATGCATGAAATGCATGGATTTAAACAGTCGTCTTGACACATTTGTAAAAGTTCTTATCAATGTATTAATCATTATGACTGTGTAACAGAGCTGTTTTCAATTAACGACAACTGTGAGCAACCGTCTGTGATGCAGGTTATCAGCAATCACAACAAAAGTAAAGCATACAACTGCATGAAAAAGAAGGGCTGCTTTACATGCTCGGAAAAATTCTCTTTGGGATTACTAAACCATGGACCTTTGCCTTGCAGGCGCCTGATGATCATATCTCACTGCCACAGAACAGCAAACTTCAAGATGTGTGTCACTCAACCATTTAAAAAAATATCCCCTTTATCAACTGATCTGGTTGTTCATGGGGATACGAAGGTGCAGGAACGTAATGCGTTTGTTTTTCTTTCGGATGCATTGCTATAGAGCAATAACTGTATTTCAAATAACCAATCCACAATGCTTTGAAGGGGCAGGCATCATAGAAGTGTTAGCACCAGTGCACCTAACTGGCGAGCTCAGAAATTTTTCTATAGCACTTTTAAAATTAAGATTTTGGCAATACAACAGAGACACTGGCTCTGATGTTCAAACAGGTGACAACCCCCTTATTCAGTGAGATACAAAGATTAAACAGATGAGCAGAAACCTGTGGCCAGTGTGTGGACGTTCGACAGGGGCCAAATGTTATAAACTGTTGCAATAAAACACGAATATCTGTGAAGCACCTTGTGAATTTGATTGGGTGTAGTTTAGACTGTTGTGCATGCATTTGAGTAAGGTTTGTCACTATAACTGTCACTATGTGTGCTGTACATATAAACTAACTTCAACCAAAGCTTTTGAGGAATCTGTGACAACACAACAAGAGCAAGCAAACAACTGATAACATTTTACTTATTAAAAAGAAAGAACACAGAAGTCCCACAGTCACTTGTACTCATTATTCTATCAGTAGATCTTCATTAGGAAAGATTTCTTACCTGAAAACAAGTTATAAAACCAATTGAAAATTTGCCAGGGCAAAGACACATTTGTAACGTCAAAGCTCTTCAAAATGTTCTCAAAAACGAAACACTGCAACTTTGCGATCTACATAATTCACCTTATATGAATATCCCTGTTGGCAGCTCCCCAGACCTGGATCTCACACAACAGCCAGAATTAAATTAGACTACCCTGTTGGCCAGAACCAGGTGGGACAAAGATTATCTGATGCACTTGGGTAATTTGTTAAAGTGTCAAGTCTGTGAGGACCATACAAAAAAAGTAATCCCAACAAATACCTTGGTTTCCATTTTGCACTTTAAAATGTGCTGCAGCGCACAGCAACAACTCACCGCCACGATTGTTCATCCATTTCCATGTATAGCTTACACAAAGAATTATTTTACCATAGATGTATCTATTTTTGTGATAAGAATGTGATGGAATAGAGCCTGACTGAGAAATGATACTCATTCATCTTCTGAAATCAATAGTGGGGAATTATTTTCACAGGGAATAAAATTATAAAAATCTGATTTGTTGCCTTATTCTTTGAGACACTAACATTGTGCATACACATAAAAACACTCATGGGTTTATTATTTATCACCAGAGCAAAATGTACAGATCAGTATTTATTTTCTTTTACAGAATAAAAAAAACTGGATGAATTGTTGATAGTCCACTGAATGTTAATTCCATTATACTGTACTTTGCAAAAATGTTTACTGACCATATGTTATTTGTTCATTGACTCCACTCAGTGTTCTATGTCAGTGAAATGGTATTTCACATGAATAAAATCATATATCAGCGAATCTTATGCATCTGTGAAATTATTTTTTTGATTTGTCACGTTGTCAGTCACAGAGCTCAAGATGCCTCCATGAGACTCAGCTTGGTGGTATTGATTGACATCCTGACGTTTCAGATTGAATTCCATAAAAAGCTTTGGATTTTTCTAGGTTTATTGAATCCATGGATTGCTTTATTCCATTTTGAAGGACACTTTAGGTTAGTGAACTGGTTTTGGGCACCATCTGTCACATTCATCCCAACAAAAATCACCTTTTATACATCTTATGTCCACTGACAATAGTCAGGCTGCTCTATTCTGGCAGACCATGAGATATACTTCTGTGAAACGGATGTGGTTTGCGTATAAAAAGTCTGACACGGACCTAAAAATCGTGCTGCAGAACAGTCCTCACACCACCACTAACCTCTTTTCTCACCACAACGAGAATCACATCAAAAAGTAGGGAGAGTCTAAGGATGAAAGCCAAAAGTACAGTCAACTGCTCAAAACAAACCATAAACTCAAACACTGCAAAAGGCTATCGCCCGCCTGCGGTTCCCCACTGGGGTTTTATGCGTTGGTGCTAACATGTGACACAGAGAAAAATAATCAAATATGAGAAAGTATCTTGTTATTGCAATTCAAAAGGCGCATTTCATCTGTTACTGATGCAGTAACAAAGAAGGGTTGAGTAAAGCTCTGCTACCTTGCCCTCTGACACTGTGGTAAGGTACATCCATATCTAAGAGAAACATCTTGTGAGGCATTAGAACATTGCATGCACATATATGTTTTGGCTTGGAGAAAACAGAGCCTTTTTAACAGCTAAATGTTGTGACAGTATACTGTAGAGCATGTTGTGATGCTGGTCTGGAAGAGCAGAGTTTACATCCCAAAACTACACTTGAGCCAAACAAGCCCTGAATGCTGAAAAGGTTCCTTTTAATATAAACTCCTGAATAATTGATACATACAGTAAGAGTTTTGGTCTACAAGTGACCCTTTACAAAAATAACAAGCCTCTACCAAACAATGTCCATTAACAGTAAACGTGAAACAAAATCTGCACAGATCTCATCTTAAAAATGACTTTAAAGCTGATAATATACAATGAAAGTCAGACACTCGTGTGTTCTGCACCTTTTGTGGTATTCTCCAAATTTAATCAAACACTTCCCTCCAGACACACATTATAACCAGAAAACTTTCTATTCCAAATCAGTGTTCAGCCTTTGTAAAATGCCACCAGCAGTAGTGCACTATGTGAATGCACAGCTCCACCAGCCAGTACAGCATGCTTTATATAATGTTGATATAGAGTTAAGACTACTGTTCTGTAAACTCTAAATAAAATATACTGAATACCAACAGCATAAATGTGTTACATGATGCATTATGGCAGAAAACCACCTGAAAAAATCTGGCTCTGAAATATCAGTGTCACCCTGGGATTTGTTGAGCATAAAAAAAAACTATTGCTGATAGTTAAAGATGGCTCAATTAGACAGTTACAGTAGGTACTACTGATTTTCAACAAGATCTCAAAATGGGCTCTACTACATTTTTCAAAGACCCATCATCTAAAGCCATTTCTGTTTAGAGTATTGTTATGCCAATAAATCCTCCAACCTATAGGACCCATAAGGTTGTTTGTCCTTTCATTTTCATACGGCATCTGGTGAAATATTGCTACTACATTAGTAGGCACACTTGCAAGAACTCTGCCAACATTAACATTCATTGCACGGACACACTTTCCATCATGGAAACAGTCAAACACATGGTTATAACAGCAGGTGTATTGATCATCATCATCATCATGGGAATAAACATGCTGTTACAATTATGAAAGCGTTGTGGTTTCAATATGTTTTGTCACACAAGCCGTTTGGTTCGGTGAAAACCCAAACATTCTGCACTAGAAATGAACACTGCTTGCCTGGGAAAAGTCCTGTGCCTTCCATCCTCCTCCTAACATGGACTGTACTACTTCCTTTGCTCCTGTCATAATTACTATGCTCATTAGAGGTCGATAAGTTTTAACATGCCACGTTTGGTCGTAATAGCTAGCTGGCACAAATGATATGTCATTTCTTACTAGAGGATGGTTTCCAACCACCCGTATGTTCCACCAGTGTGCATCACACGGTGAACGTGGAAGTTGATGTACTGTACTGCACAGCTCTGGTACATTTGCATTCTAATATATCTTTCTACATTTGCCACACAAGCCATTCAAACCTCTCCCTTCCGTGTACTCAACTAAAAAATGGGCCATTGTTGAGAGAGATTGCTATCAGACAACAGTATGATGATTGATGCTGCATGATACAGATGCCTCAAATAGAAAAAAGAAAGCTCTGCCGAAGCTTCTGAGACATGGTGAGATACACCCATTGTACTGAAATAGCAACTTTAGCCATCCTCAAGTAAACAGAAGACAGAACTAGAACAGATTCATTTACAAGAGAAAAAGTTATTAAAAATAAGTAAATAATATTTACATTTGCAAAAAACTGGTTTTCCCAGAGGGTGAATTGTACAGCACCTTTTAAAAAACTTCATTCATTCATTTATCGTATGGATGTCACTATCAAAGAATGAGTCACTATTAATGATTACGTTCTGTGCCCTTTACTACATTTCTCCAACACAATATGCTCCTGCGGGACCAAGTGGCAGCACAAGCCCTTGCCATAGTGAGTGATAGTTGTGTCATTCACAGAGGGAGAGGAAATAGGAAATAGGAAAAGTATTTCACTTCTTTTGTCTCAACATTAATTAGTTGCTCAATGCCTCAAGGTGAAGGCTGGTAATCAAAAGGAAATAACAGGCATCACATCCACCTTTGGTCTGCTGAGTAAAAACTTGGGGGAGAGAGAGAGAGAAAGAGGAAAAACCTCAACAAACAATGACCAATAACCACTGAACCATCACAATGACCCGATGCAGGTCAGAAAATGAGGTTCACATGGACACATAAATCATAATGGAAAAGAAGATGCACTTGTCAGTTTCTACGTGGTGGTGGAGCAACAAAGTAAAAAACCCTTGTTATTCAGGAGAGAAGCCAGCTTTATCCCAGACTTCTCTGTGGGATCAGTTCCTCACGGTAACTTTATTACTCAACTGCTGGGTTCAGAAAGAGCACTATTGCACTAGTCTATAAAGGGCTTTCACTGAAGTTCTGCATATCACCTATGTGCACCCTGGGACGATCTCCCTCATTGGCAAAGCTTAAAGGCTTTTTATTCAAAAAGTACCTGGACATGTCGTAAAAAAAAAAAACATGCCTAGATTTGACATAGTTTATAATATGACCTGAAACTCAGCAATGGCTATTAGTCCAGCGGCTGGTAAAGAAAGGACATGAGAACATGTTGCAGAAATATGCAACAATACATTAGAGCTATGTAAACCCTTAGAGGACATGTTGTTAATCTCATCACAGCTGCACAAACAAAATGAGCAGCTGAGCATGTCCGTCACCAGGGCTAGGCTGATAATAGTGCAGGAACAGTGGCAATCACATTTATGGAAGGGAGCAAATCAAAGTTTGTTCTGGGGATCTTCAAATCTATAAAGCATATTTAGACTAATTACCAAATGGTCACCGGGGAGGACAACTATATTCATTTAAATTGCTTTTTTCGTTTTCCAGTCAGCATTCAAATCTGAAAAATTAACAACCAGTCTCATTGAAGCTCGGTGTCAGAATTAAAAGCTGCACATCACTGTTTCACCCACTTCTTTCAATCATCCTCGCTGAGCACAACAGATCATTATCACTTCCCAAATAATGTGCTAGACACATTCGCACCATATGAAGAGTCTGTCAGTCACCACTGGCACTGCCCAGGTCGGATACAGATTACAGATGATGATGATAGTGACATGCAGCAAGCTTTGCAAAATGACTGTTCTCTAATTTGTATCAGTGCATAGTGTAGCATCAGACTGTATTGTTTTCAGAGGGGAAATTAGCAGTCATATCAGGCCACACTATTTCCCCACAGAAGGGAAGTGATTAAAAAGACTGATTCTCACAGCAGCAGCAAAAATATTGGGACATTTCTCATCTATTACTGATGAGCCTGTTTAGCCTCCACAGAAACCCAGAATCTGCGCTTATAATGATTAATGCTTTATCTCAAAATTCCGATTAAATAAGCCTTTCTCAAGTTTTTATATCATCCACAGTAATCAAGTGTAAACAAAAGGTGCAGAGAGTTCAGAGTGGCCTATTGCATTTACTGGAGTTACTGTGGGCCACAGAACATGACTATGTATGCTTTCTCCACCAATTTAGAAGTGGTCATTGTCATGTTTTATATAAGAAATAGCTCAAACACAGAACAGACTGGCAGGTACAGTGTGTGGACTTGAAGAAACTTACCAGAGACCGGGAAGGAGATGAAGTCAGCAACATCCAGGGGGTCCAAAACAGATCAGTAATCCAAACAGAGGACCCAGTCCAAAATGGACAGTGTATAAGTCCAGGCAAACGATCCAAAACAGGTAAGTAATCCATAACAGGTAAAACACTTGGAAAAGTGAAACAGACAAGTATGGCCTGAATGATATGGCTCTGAAATCACGAAAGACGATTTGACAGGAGAAAGTTCGAACTACCTGTGAACTAACGAGTAAACGAGGAACAGGTGTGCAGGTGGAAGGTGATGGAGAAGTCAGAGGACACCTGGAGGCTGGATGGGGATTAGCAGTTCATGAACACATCCAGAAAATACAATGAGGACCATGAGGGTGGAACCAGAAAGAACCAGAGCAACAGGGCCAAAACGCACATGGCTGATACTGGAACACAAACATATTTACCATACGGTCACACCAAAGTGAAATGACTGACCCTGTGAATGGGGGAAGGAATAACAGAAAATCCAGTAACAACACATTTGGCCAAAAGAAAATATTGTTTGTCTGGTTAACTATAAATCTGAAGGCAAGTATTTAAAATCTCTGCACACACCACAGTCTAGCTGTGTTCAGACAGTGAACTTTAGGTGAACTTTAGAAACAATGAGTTGCAAGGAGACTGTCCTTCCAAGAAATACAAGCACATCCATCCTTTAAGCAAATCAGCTAAAATCACAGCTACAACTGGATATTAACAAAGTACAACAGGATTCCACACAGTCAAACATGGAAGCAGGTCATCAACAGCTAAAATCACCAGTCACTGGAACATCATGTCTGTCCAGCTCAGGCCTCTCACCCTCTGCCTCCTGTGGCGCCTTTAGCTCAAGAGATGGCTGCTCATCAGACTCCCAGCAAATCACACACTGTTACATTTCCTGCCAAGAACAAATGTCATTCAAGTTGACCCCGAGGTCAAAGCCAGTTTGCTTATGTGAATGAGGACCCAGGGACCTATTGGATGTCATTAGTGCTGGACTTGATGGGAGCAGATGGAGCAATCACTGCTGATGTGGGACTGACTGTCAGTAGACTCAAGACTTATTTCCTCTTTCATTGTTTATTTATTTATTTGAATGTTTGTTCTTATGGACAAGAGGGGGAATTTGGGGGTTTTGTGCTTTCTGCTGTAATGAAACAGATCTTCAATAGATCATCTGTGACTAAATGTCCAATCTGGCTCTGTTATTGAGATTTGAGAAAATAGTCCAGGCAGATATATCCCTCCATCCATCCTTTATACCACTTATCCTGTAGAGGGTCATGGGCGGCTGGAACCAAATCCTAGCTTACGCCAGGCCAGAGGTGGGGCACATCTGGACCAGTCTATAACAGGACAGACAACCAGAAAGGCCACAGTCAGCCATGAAGTTCGAACCGGGAATCTTCTCACTGTGAGGCAGCAATACTAACCACTTCATCACCATGCTGCCCCTGTATAGTTTGAAATCGTTTAATGACTGCACACACACACACACACACACACACACACTCAGGAGCTATGAATAAGATCAGGCTGTGTGGAGCTCTACTGGAAGTCCACGAGGTCACCAAACTCCACACTAATATGTACAGTAACTAATAAGTGGGGAGAAACAAATCAAGAGAGCTCTAGTACACACCCTCTGCCTCTGTAGGGCTGCGTGTTCATACAGCACAGGTGTGGTTTTACCCACCCTTCTGAGCAATGCTTTTACTAAGAGGTCAAGCAATTTTCTTGTCTCTTTATATTGATGACTATGATTGTGTTAATGTAGAATCCTGTTGAAATATAACAGTGCGTTTGTTGCTTATTATTCTTTCTGCTGATAGCAGTATTGATTCCTGTTGTTGTTAGGATTAAGACAGCCGAGGCTACTGGTGCTGCTGAGCTCTGGGAGTTTGTTACTTTGACTACATTTCATTTCATTTAATGACATGAGAAAATGTTATGTGTGTGTATTAATTGTGT